AGTGGCCTTCTCATACTGGTTATGCTTAAAATGTTAGGTATCACCCTTTAGTTTTTGGTCCCATAAATACAAAGTAATCACCACCATCACTACGTTAAAAAGTAATAAACAGTATTACAAGTACATTTTAGTAACAAGAGATGACTCACAAAGTAACATATATCAAGCAACTATATAAAAAGTAAAAACCAACTATGTTACAAAGTAACATATATCAAGCAATTATATAAAAAATACCACCAATAGCAGCCATCTATGTAATATCTTAGGCCAAATGCTTTACAAAGTAATCCTCAATAACAGTTATTAAATCAATAAACTGCAGTACAAAGTTAGCAATGAATGACAATATATAATTCCCATTCTGTTGTTTCAGACCGCCAGTCCAACAGTAAGTCCATTAACTTTCTTCTGCAGAACATTTACCAGACCTTCTAATCTGGAAAATTAAAAATGATTTGCTTGTCAATTCTGAAATCCTCTACTTATTTATTTTTTTATAGATCTCATTCTGAAACAATGCATACATTGATATAGAATTTACACTTTAAATCTTAAAATTTGGGGTGGGGGTGAAGTGTCACCGAGTTCTACATTTTAATACAGACTTGCAGTTATCAAACCCCCTCATATTCTCAACTGCACCAATATCTAAACCCATTTCTCATTGGTGATCCAAACTGAAGATGAAGATTCTAGATAGTTTGAAGATTGCACGTCTGAAGCCTATATTAAAGCAATAGAATTCAGAAACGCCCCTTCTCCTCGAAGTGTAAGCTTCAAAGTATAATTTCCATAAAACAATAGCTACTAATGTTTTACACAAACCAGTAACAATCTTTACAATAATCATTAAACAACAGCAGGTAGCTAAATAACTGGAGATGGTGAGTGGATATGATGAACTCTAAAGTTTAGTTATTACCTTTGACATTTTGTTTGTGCCCTGTATCTTGCACTACTCTCCTGTTTCAGAACATCTTCTAACCTTTTGACTTCTGCTTCAAGGTCGGACTGTTTGTTGGAAGTTGATTGAACTGTGTGTTGCTCAGAGCTTAGCTGCTGATTGTCTGTGTGGGTTGTAATGTTCCTGTCAAAAGTTCAAGTTCACAAAATTCAAGCTTGAAGACTTAAGTGTGAGCTTCTAGTGAAACAAAAAAAAAACCTTTCAGATGAAGCATTTCAAACTTGTAATAACTTTACATAATTTTTAAATATTTCTTTAGGCTCTCTTTATGTTAACATAGTAATGAACCAACCTCTTATTTGAAACTGCAAGTTAGAAAAAAATCTTATATTATTCAATTATTTTCTAATGGAAATTTTGCAATTAATTAGCATTAAATATTAGAAGAGTGTTTATGTTGTTAAACACAAAGCTACACAATGGGCTTTCTGTGCTGTGTTAAAAGCCTTCAGACTTACTGGGGAGTGCTGGATGAAAGACAGTTCAAAATATTTCAATAATCAGGGAGTATTGGAAAGTTATACTTTTTACATTCGGCTAGCAACTTTTTTAGCCAAAAGAAAATTCTGTTTGAAATCTTCTATAAGATTATAATACAAACTTTTAGTTAGATGTTTGCTTTCAAAGCAGGATAATAACTAAAAAAATATCAAAACTTACTGCTGGTCCCTAAAGAGAGCTGCTAGTTCCCAATACTTAGACATTGCTGAATCACGATCTTCTGTTGCCTGACGCACTGTTTCCTAAGCAAAAAACGATGACAAACATTCAAAAAGAAGGCAAGGAATATGTGCCTTTACCAAATTATTTTACTAATATTCTGCACGTGGTTCAAATCAAACTTGAAATTTCAACCATGGAAGACAAACTAATCTGAACTTCAATGTTGTCTTT